TATTATTTGTTGAAACTGTACTTTTGATTTGATTTGAAACTGTCTCATTGCTATATGTTTATCAATAAAACTTTGAAAAGAAAAAAAAAAAGAAAATCTTACCCTGATGAAGTCATTCATGTTCAAAACACTATTTCTACAAAATTTGTATTTTTCTCTTGGTTTCATCAGAGCTTTGAGAATCCCCCATTTTTCAATTTTTAAAATTATAGTAAATATTACTAGCAGTATACAAATCTTCTTGTAAGTAAAATCTTATTTTCAGAGAAGTTCTTTCTCATTATGAAGCTCTAGACAGATCACGGGGCACAATTAATCTGAGTGGTGGTACAGCGGGGAGAAGAAACACGGAAACCACACCCAGGATTTGGAGGCAGATTTATTTGCATCAGTGGGCGCAGATCGGGATCACTTTCAGTGTATCAGGCCCTGATCCCTGGTGGCCCAGGGCTTTTGTATGATGCACAAGCAGGAGGTAGGAAGGCGAGACAGAGCAGCCTGGCAGTTCTTGTAATGAGCTAGCAGGGTGCGACCATCAGTTACAAAGGTAGATTAATGATCACTAGTTTATGAGGCTTGGTACAATGCTACAATCAGGCCTGCTTGTTCGGTTATACTCTCGTGTTTACAGGGGTCAAGAAAGTAATTGCAAAGCCACAGAGCAGCTACAGAGTGAGAGAGTTTCAAAAGAACAAAGTGTTAAGAGGGGTGATTTCTCTTGTACAGTGTTTCCTTTTCAGTGTGGCTGAAGGCTTACAGAATCTCGATACTACAACACTCCTGAAAGCCTAACCTCGGGGCAGATTGCGTTTTGTGAGAAATCTCTTTCTTAATGTTAACTTGTATGAAATCTTCCAGCTTGCATTTATGCATCATTAAATGTGCATGAAACATAAAAAAAAAAAAAAGGGAGACCCCAGGAGATGTTTACCCTTGGTGATTTAAGGTCCACTTTATGAGCTCCGTCCTGCTGTCAGAGAAACATCCATTTCCAAGGAACTCTTCTGCCCTGTTTGCTTCATGATATGGGGCTATAAATTTCCATGACTGGGAGGATTCCCTGACATTGTTATCTGCTGTGAAAGTCTGGTTCTCGCACCTAAGCGATGGATTTTCATGTCCACCCTGCCCTCCCCTCCTACTCCCACTGTCCACATGTCACACCCGCCCTCTGGATGTATAAATCTTTTTCCGTGGTTCTGCAAACTGTTAAAGGGACGATGCTGTCCTTGGGGCTGAGGGCACGTGACCTCCCTGTACCTAAGTGTGGCTGTGGTTTCTGTTGTGGTCGGCAGAAAGAGATGTTGAGCTAGAAGACAAGATGTCCTGTTGTGATTTGGGGTCTTGCTATGACATTTCATGGGTAAACAATCAATATATATCACCAAATAATCAGAAAGCCAAAGGTAAAAAGGGCTGTTTTGCTAGAGTTCTGCTATCTTTTTTCAGGGCCACCTCTGAGTAAAACCATCTTAATGAATGTTTTTGTATTGGGTGAGTCCTTAGGGACTCTGTCCGTCCTGCTGTAAGCTGTTGCATTCACAGTCTAGCCCGTCTTCCACTTCCCGTGTTCTCCTGGCCATGCACATTACAATGCCCTTATAGACTCCAGGGTTGGCAGCTTAGGGGTTCATCTTCTGGGGCAGTGGTTGGTAGGGCCAACCACTGGTTGTGGCCGCAGCTTCTGTGGTCACGTCCATTTGCCTGGACACTTTCACTTCTGTCACCCTTGCATTTTGGAG